TCTTCATCAGTCATAAACCTTTCAGAGGAGCTGGCGGTAGAGCCAGAGGGGTGTTTTGGGGGACAGCAGAACCCTCATGTTAGGCCTGGAGCTACTCACGCAGAGGTTCCCGTTGTCAGAGAGAACGTGACTCTCTGCTGCTCTCAAATCGGGCGATTCCTACTCTGTTCTCAGCCAGACGAGCTCCCGCAGGCTCCTCTTGCCACCTCGTGGACTGCAGTTTTGCGGTAACGAAAGAGCCCGTGGACTGAGCCCATCTCACTGTCCCATCACACTATGGGACTGAGCCCCATAGTGTCTATAAGTACCTCAAGGGAGGGTTGAAGAGGATGGTGCTGGTCTTTTTTCAGTGGCGGCCACTGGCAGAACTAGAAGTAATGGCCACAAACTGAAGCACCAAAAGTTCCACAGGAACTTAAGGAAAAATTTCTTCCCAGTGAGGGTGCCAAAGCCCTGGAACAGGCTGCCCAGAGAGGTTGTGGAGTCTCCTTCTCTGGAGATCTTCAAACCCGCTTGGACGCAGTCCTGTGCCACGTGCTCTAGGTGACCCTGCGTGTGCAGGGGGTTGGACTAGGTGACCTCGAGAGGTCCCTTCCAACCTTGAGCATTCGGTGATTCTATGATCTACACAGCTCAGCCGAGCTGGCAGTGCCATGAGATGGGAAATCCCTCCAGCACGGGGAGCCTGGGACGTGCGGGGGCCGGAGCGCGGCCGCTTCCTCTCTAGGTCACTGTCCTGCACAGGCCACACGTGCCCGGCAGGTCTCCTAGGCACAGAGTTGTGGTCGCTGCAGATACATCCGTGCCCTGGTGGGATGGTGGGACGTGCGTGAAGCCGCAGAGATGCCCTCATTTTCCTCTCGCCCCTGCAGGACGGAGGGCGGGATAACGAAAGGTGCCACGGTGGGAGTGCTGCTGGATCTGACCCGGAGAACCCTGACCTTCTCCATCAACGAGGACCAGCAAGGGCCGGTGGCGTTCGAGAACCTCGAGGGCCTCTTCTTCCCCGCCGTGAGCCTCAACAGGAACGTGCAGGTAGGCGCCGAGCGGGCCGGGGGGAAGGAGGGGGCTCCAGGGCCCCTCGTGCCACCTCTGCGCCCGCTGGGACGCACCGGGACGCGCTCCCGTGGGAGATGGGCTTGGAACGGGGCCGCACACCCGGCCCTGCACCTCCCGGTTCATTAGCAGCCATCGGAGCGGCCCGTCTCGCTCCGCTTTTAGGTGTCTGTGTATTCATTCATAGAGCAGACACGTCCTGCTCCTTGACGGGTTTAATTCCCACCGCAATCTCGGGATAACCGAAGAGACGGGCGCGTTTATAGAGCCCCTCTGCTCCCTGACAGTCCCATAGCAAGAGAGCGCCCCAAATTCCCGGGGAACAGGGACATCCTGCGGGAGGCTGATAAGAGCCAAGAAACCCGATTCACCCATTACCCTTCAAAGGTGTGCGAGTAATTACAGTGACTCTAAATTAGATGGGAAAAAAATGTATTTTGGACAGGGTTTTCTGTGCGTTGAGTGCAAGGGGGTGCCACTAACCCGCTGTCGCTGCAGGTGACGCTGCACACGGGGCTGCCCGTGCCCGAGTTCTACACGTCCCGCTCGGCCGGGCCGTAGGGAGCGGGGCCGCTGCCTCCCCTCCGGACATTCCCTCCCTCGGGAAGCGCCTCGCCGAGGAGCCGCGCTCGGCCGCCGTCTGGAGAGCAGGGGAAAGCAGGAGGGAAAGCAGCAGCTTGTGGCTCCCGGCCGCCCTCGCCGTGCGCCCTGCAGCGCCGCCAGCGCTGTCCCGTGTGTGTCCGCTTCGCTCTTTCGCTCTTTTGGCTGATCAAGTACCTAGGTAGCCTGAGATGTTGCTCTGTGTCCGCTTTTAGGTTCGGTTTTATTTATTTGGGAGTTTTCGGGGGGGAGGTGGGGGCAGTGTGGGTTTGAGGAGAGCGCTGGGTTCCCTCGCGCGCGGCCGCCCGCGCGTTACGT